TGAAATGATTGGATGGAGAAATTAGTCATTTACCTAGCAACATCTAAATCTAGGTATACAGCAAATGAGTATGTAACATTTAATCCTTTAGTAATTCATTTTCTTTCAAATTAAATTTCAAAATATCTTGATTATTATCTTAGGTGACATGTTGCACTGGGGGGGGGGTTGGTTATGCAACACTAGCTGTTTTTAAATAGGTTCTATAAAGAGATCCTGCATATGCCACTGTGAGATAAATACTCTTAAATTTTTAAACATTATTAAACACATATTAATTATGTTTCATATATAAATATAAATCTTTTAATAACATGTTCTTTTTTGCCTTCCCATCATATAATTAGAAAAGAAAAACGACACTATATAATGAGTTATTTATATATGAAAAAATAATAATTATAAATAGATAATAATAATGTGTATCTGGGATGGGCACAATTACTCAAAATTTTTAGATTTAGTTATAATTAATTTTCTAAATATGGACAAAATGCTTTGAACTATTAATAACAACATAAAAAAAATTCTGATAAGCTTATTGAATATTTGCTTTTGATAATTAAGTAAAAAAATTTGTAATGATTAATTAAATTGTGTTAGGAACAGGATTAGGATAAAAAGTTAATATTAAATATACATTCATATGATTTAAGAGATTACTGGTGTATGGTGTTATATTGTAACTGAGACAAATTAGCGTGATTTTGCTAGTGATTAATTTCGCAATGCTTGAGAAAATAAAGCAACATTACCCCTCATTCACACTTAGCACGAATTCTCAACAAAGTATACAAAATATGCTGTATTTTTGTATTCTTTGCCACTAAGTTGTGCTAATATAAACTTTTATATTTATAAATTTTAAATTATTTTGATTTAAATATCAGTTAGTACATTAATTTATTACAAAATACCTGGTCTATTAAAGAATTAATTTTTTAAACCCAGATCTAGTGAGAAAGATATCAAAGTCTGATCAGTTGATTTTATATTTATCTCATAGGGGAGTTAGCCAAGCCTACTATACTATTGTTTAGGGTCAGGTTCGATAATTTAAATGTTCTTTGAGATTAGGTGTAAGCATTTATTTTTAATTAATTTTCAGATAAGCTTGGAGTTTAAAATAAATTATTTGGTCAGTCGCGACCTTAAAATTAAATTTTTAGCAGGGTTTAACATTTGCTCAAAATTCAAAAATCTTCACAGATCGTTGCTCTTTTGAAAATCCAAAAATGCGAAGATTTTTTCGCTAAAAAAAATTTTGAGCTTGCTCAAAGAAGATTTTTGAGCAAAATAAAAAATATTTTTTGTAAAAAAATCTTCTATAATTTTGAGAAAATATTTTGAGAATTTTATAATAAAATAAAATCTTTTGTAAGGAAATCTTTATTAAAATATTTTTTGAAATTTTGATCTTAAAATTTTTTGGTAAATTCTTTAAAAATAAAATTTTTGATATATATTTTTTTTTATTTTATTATGTTAATGAAAATATTTTTTTTGAATAGGTTGTAAATGTGAGAATTGGTCATAATACCGACTGCATTTTTTTTAATATTTGGAATAAGTAATAATGATTATTTTAAAAATGTAATGTCATAATTTTAATGTTTTATATTTAATGTAAACTATAAAAGTGACAATTGTCATAATACTCATCTCAGAACCTTTAAAAATAAATATAATTAAAAAAGGCTAGTTGAGCATGTTTTGAGATGGTTTCAGTGATTGTAAAGCGTATAAAGGTGACAATTGTCACAATACTTATTTCACATATGTTTTAATTGGAAATAGAGAAAAATGATTATTTCAAACATGAATTAATATAATGTGTAAACTATAAAAGTGACAATTGTCATAATATTCATAACAGAACCTATAAAAATAATTTTATTTTTAGGTATTAAATAGGCGAGAAAAAATTTTTTGAGCATGTTTTGAGATGGTTTTAATGATTGTAAAAATTGTCACAATCGTTATTTTTGAACTTTTTTAAAGCAAGTAGATAAAAATTTATTAAATATAAAATTAAATGTGGATGTACCATAGAGCAGTGACAATTGTCATAATCGTTATTTTTGAACTTTTTTGAATTTTTTTGAAGCAAGAGTAAAATAATAAATTGTAAACATGTTAAATTGAAATTTAAATGTGGATGTACCATAGAAAAGTGACAATTGTCATAATCGTTATTTTTAATCTTTTTTGAATTTTTTTGAAGCAAATAGGTAAAAATATATATTGTAAACCTGTTAAATTAAAATTTCAGTGAATATGTACCATAGAAATGTGACAATTATCATAATTGTTATCTTTGAACTTTTTTGAATTTTTTTAAAGCAAATAGGTAAAAATATATATTGTAATCCTGTTAAATTAAAATTTCAGTGAATATGTACCATAGAAAAGTGACAATTGTCATAATCGTTATTTTTAATCTTTTTTGTTTTTTTTGAAGAAATTATATATTGTAAACTTATTAAATTAAAATTTCACTGAAGATCTACCATAGAAAAGTGAAAATTGTCTTAATCGTCATTTTTAATCCCTTTTAAATTTTTTTGAACTTACAGGGTAAAATAATAAATTGTAAACTTGTTAAATTTAAATGTGGATGTACTATAGATAAGTGACAATTGTCATAATGGCCATTTTTAATCTTTTTTGAATTTTTTTGAAGCAAAAGGGTAAAATAATAAATTATAAACATGATAAATTAAAATTTAAATGAGGATGTACCATAGAAATGTGACAATTGTCATAAACGTTTATTTTAATCTTTTTTGAATTTTTTTAAGCAAAAGGGTAAAATTATATATTGTAAACATGTTAAATTAAAATTTCAGTGGAGATCTACCATAGAAAAGTGACAATTATCATTTTTAATTTTTTTGAACTTAAAGGGTAAAATAATAAATTGTACACATGTTAAATTAAAATTTCAGTGAATATGTACCATAGATAAGTGACATATCTAATTCTCAACCCCCTTTTGAAATTATTTTAATATATATATATTTTGAAATTATCACATTACTCATAGTCATATCCATTATTTTTAAATTAGGTTAATATGATCTTGTTGGGAAACACTTAAACCTCTGGGCAGATGATAATAGTATCATATATGTTAAATTTTTAGAGCCAATCGGAACGGAGTTGAACTAGAAAGATGCATCAATATAAACATGATATTTTTGGGAACAACAAATTTAAAAATATTTTTTCTTTAATCTTTTAAATCAATTTTAGATCTTAGAAACTACTATTTGGATATATCTAGTAAAATACGCCCCCCTCTGATTATACTATTCATACAAAAAATCTAAATCAGTCATATATATGAATTTTTATTTATTAAAATTTCAATGTAAACAATAACTTTATAATGAAATAGGTTATATAAATAATTATTTAAAATATCACATTATTTAACAATGTACGATTAAGCTTTATAATTAAAATATCATCAAGTATATCTTTGTCTAATCTTGTACTTAGAGAGGTTACAGTTAGTGCCAATGCACTAAATGCTCTCTCAACTGAGACCTGGGTGCAAGGAGCAGCAAGAATTATTTGAGATAATTTAAATAATTCTGCATCTTGGTGTTTTCTTGAAACCCAATATTGCAAAATATCTTGTGAGGATGGCAATCTTTTGTTGTATAATAACGATTTTATTTTTAGCTTGATATCGCTATTACATAATTCATAAAATATAGGTCCCTTCTTGCAATCACGCTCAATGTAAAGGTCAAGTTTTGTTTTTTTATAATCACTAGTGGAAGGCATAACTAGAGTTGTATTTTCTTCATGAGGGTCAATAGCTTGCAATTGTTTCCAAGTTGCAAATATATGTTCCTAAAATAAAAAGATGTATATTATAAATTTATTAATTTACCCTGGCCAATATTTTATCTCTTACAAAGGATATTTTCCATTTTCATAATGGAATCTAGGATCCATATATATCGCACTACGAAATGCGTCATTTTGAAAAAGATAGCTTTCTCTAATGTTTAAACATTCCAACATACTTTTAGATAAATTATTATCCATTTCCTCCAGCTCCATTTTGCATTCTAGCCATGAAGCAAAAAAACCTAATAGGATAATATCTCATAAATCGAAACTAATAAAAGTTTCTGGGTATAATTCACCTATTTTAGTATAAAAGGTTTTATTATCCATTAGATTTTTCATCATTAGATAAGTACTATTCCACCTAGTAACAGTATCTAGCGTGGGTTTCGATAATCTTTTATATTTGTGAGATTTTATCAATTTAATTATAATACGAATTTTCTCTAAGTCTAGTTTTAAATATTTTTTGATAAACATGTTTACAGCAAGTTGTATAGTATGTGCAGAACATCTAATGCAACTTAAGCCAAAGCTTTTGCTTATATCATCTGATATATTTTCCTCGTCAATACCCTCTGGTGTTTCTTCATCAGAATAAACGGAGACATTTTCATCATCAATACATACATTTTCCTGATAACTTACACTTGTATTAAATAATATCTGGCTTAAATTATTTTCATTAGAATTAGATAGATCATTATCATTATTTAATTGATCTCTAGCCATAGTGTCAACCATTTTAAGCATATTGGCGCCGTTATCCACAGTAATGCTATATATTTGTTTTAAATCTATCTGGTATTTTTTTAAAATTGTTTGGATTTCTTCTTTTAGGTTTGCACCTGTATGAATTTTTATTAGTTCTATCATTCCTAGTGTTCGTACTTGTATCTGGCCATCTTTTATATACTGAACATTAATACCTAATATTGATTTATTATATCTAGTAGCTGTATCAATTTTTAAAGAAATTAGCTTGTTTTTTAATTCATGTATAATTTGAAGTCTAATTTCGGATGCGGTATATTTTATTTTATCGACCACTGATCGATTATTTATTTTCATTTGAAGAGAATGACATATAGGGTCTAGTAAAATACGGAAACCCTCATAATTTACTAAATTTATGGGTAAATTATGGACTGTAATCAACCATACTATACATTCAAAAACCTAACAAATAATTATTTATTCTTTATTTAAATATTAATTACTTTAGATTTATCGATCTTAATTTTTGGGAATTTTTCTTTTGCTGTATTTCTAGCATTGAAGGACGAATCACTATTAGATTCATCTGCTTTCATTATGTTTGGGTGTTGAGAGGTTATGTGTCTTTTAAGATTTGCTAGAAAAATATATTGAAAAATAAATTAAATAATTTATTTTACATGGTATTGACTTCATCTTTTTGTCACACATGCTGCACGTCGCTAAATTTTTAGAAGAATCGATTAAAAAATGCTCCTTTAGAATATCTTTGAGATTTTTTTTATTTTGCATTATATATAAAAAAAAAATTTTGTAATTTAATTTTAACTTTCTTGTTTTTTCCTTTTATTTTTATTTTCACTTGTTTATTATATTTTGAAATAAAAAATCAGGAATTAATGTTATATAAAATAAAAAAAATGAATAAAATAATTGTTTTATTGAGGCCAAATAAAACCCCCATTTATAAATTTGGATGGGATACATTTATTTAATGTTTTTTTTATTTATATTTATAAAAAATCAAATGTTAAATGAAGATATAAAAAATGCATTTTCTTTTCTTTTCGTTTTTCCCATTGTCTCTCTCTCCCTCCTTTATTTATTTTTATTTAATGTTTTGCCTTATGAATTAAAGAAAATAAAAATCTCAAAAAAATGAAATTTGCTGGTGCCAGCGAGGCGGCACCAGATTGAAAAAAAGTATTATATAATTTTTTTTTTATAAAATTGAATTCAAATTTTTTTTTAATTTTCATTGCTGTAATGGTACCCAAAACCGATACGTTTTCCCCCTTGAAGGAGGGAGTTTGACGGATGGCCTCTTATTCTGTTTATGGCTATTTCAATTTTTTCCTGACTCCAATTGCTATATTTCTTTTGTGGTTTATGATAGGTATCAGAGTTTATTGTAGAAAAATTTATTTGATTGGGTTAAGAATTATTTGCTATACCAAATAAAACTGAATTTGAAATATTTTGAGAATAAGATGGTTCTTCCTGTGAGGAAAAATCTAAAAGATTATATATAATTAACAATATAATGTTAATTGGTACCAACATGTAGATGTAGAAAGATTTAAGAGACCTGGAGATAGTGACTATTTTACTAATTTTGTAATTTTTAATATCTTAAAAAATGGGAATTTTATTTCCTGGGAATTATATTCATAGATTCTTTTTAATGTTTACCTAATAGATTTTAAATAATAAACTAAAGTTAAAATTTTTTAGCCCGCTAATTGTTAAAATTTTGTAACCGATTCGCTCGCACTTTTTAAAATTATTAAGCTAGGCCGCCCATGGACGGGCTTCAGCTAAAAACCTGCTCGTTTCAGCAAATAAATTCTAAAATGATCATAATGATTATGACAATTGTCATTTTTCTATGGTACATCCTCATTTAAATTTTAATTTAACATGTTTATAATTTATTATTTTACCCTTTTGCTTCAAAAAAATTCCAAAAAGATTAAAAATGGCCATTATGACAATTGTCACTTATCTATGGTACATCCACATTTAAATTTAACAAGTTTACAATTTATTATTTTACCCCTGTAAGTTCAAAAAAAATTTAAAAAAGATTAAAAATGACGATTAAGACAATTTTACTTTTCTATGGTAGATCTTCAGTGAAATTTTAATTTAATAAGTTTACAATATATAATTTCTTCAAAAAAAATCAAAAAAGATTAAAAATAACGATTATGACAATTGTCACTTTTCTATGGTACATATTCACTGAAATTTTAATTTAACAGGTTTACAATATATATTTTTACCTATTTGCTTTAAAAAAATTCAAAAAAGTTCAAAGATAACAATTATGATAATTGTCACATTTCTATGGTACATCTTCACTGAAATTTTTATTTAACATGTTTACAATATATAATTTTACACTTTTGCTTCAAAAAAGATTAAAAATAACGATTATGACAATTGTCACTTTTCTATGGTACATCCACATTTAAATTTCAATTTAACATGTTTACAATTTATGATTTTACTCTGTTGCTTCAAAAAAAGTTCAAAAATAACGATTATGACAATTGTCACTGCTCTATGGTACATTCACATTTAATTTTATATTTAATAAATTTTTATCTACTTGCTTTAAAAAAGTTCAAAAATAACGATTGTGACAATTTTTACAATCATTAAAACCATCTCGAAACATGCTCAAAAAATTTTTTCTCGCCTATTTAATACCTAAAAATAAAATTATTTTTATAGGTTCTGTTATGAATATTATGACAATTGTCACTTTTATAGTTTACACATTATATTAATTCATGTTTGAAATAATCATTTTTCTCTATTTCCAATTAAAACATATGTGAAATAAGTATTATGACAATTGTCACCTTTATACGCTTTACAATCACTGAAACCATCTCAAAACATGCTCAACTAGCCTTTTTTAATTATAATTATTTTTAAAGGTTCTGAGATGAGTATTATGACAATTGTCACTTTTATAGTTTACATTAAATATAAAACATTAAAATTATGACATTACATTTTTAAAATAATCATTATTACTTATTCCAAATATTAAAAAAAATGCAGTCGGTATTATGACCAATTCTCACATTTACAACCTATTCAAAAAAAATATTTTCATTAACATAATAAAATAAAAAAAATATATATCAAAAATTTTATTTTTAAAGAATTTACCAAAAAATTTCAAAAATATTTTAATAAAGATTTCCTTACAAAAGATTTTATTTTATTATAAAATTCTCAAAATATTTTCTCAAAATTATAGAAGATTTTTTTACAAAAAATATTTTTTATTTTGCTCAAAAATCTTCTTTGAGCAAGCTCAAAATTTTTTTTAGCGAAAAAATCTTCGCAAAAAATTGATCTTCAAAGATTTTTTCCTCAAAATTTTGGGCGAAAAAAATCTTCAAATTTTTATTTGAAGATTTTTGTAAAACCCTGATT